AAAATACAGAAAAAAATTGTGAGATAACTAAAAAGCACTAAGCAGCGTCATCCACTGTGACTCTGGCAGCAACTAGCTCAGCCTGACCTCAGCTCTTGCCTTTACATTGTTTTTTTCTTTTCAAGATGACAGTGGTGAGGCTCTGCCTCCCCTGCCTCCCCTGACTGCACGTCACTGCTCCTGGTTCAGTGGTGGGTTCCGGATCCCATCACAACTGGTATGCTGAGCAAGGGCCAGGTGTCCCGGTTGGGCACGCATGCTGTGTTTGCCACCACCCTGCGGCACCCAGCTGCTCGGCAGTGGTTTCTGCAGGGGCAGCACGCTTTGCACGCATGCACAATAGGCCAGTTGCGTTATACTGTAAATGGCCATAGAACGAGGGCTGGTGGGTGGGCCAAACAAGCCACTGTACCAATGTGGTGGCCACTGCTCTGGCTACTACCAATACATCCTCTGGAAATCCATTCCTACTCCCGCAGCATTCAAAGCATGTTCATCCCAAATTGTATAACTGAAAGATTTTTTTAAGTAACTAAAAGAGTCGTTGTCGCTTTAAGGAAGAACTGGAACAGATTCAAACTGATGACGTGATGTAGATGCTTTCCGTAGGTTACATCATTAAAAGAACTGGGAGTATTTCAAGGAAATCATTGAGGGAATTAAGAAGGAAGGTTTTTTTTTTCTTCCATCGAAGACGATGCTGGTTCTCATCTTCCAACAATGCCTGAAAATCCTCATCCTGCCCATCTATGTGCTTGCCTATTTTGGCTTATGGGATCCTATTTGCAAAAAAACTTTCCCACTTTTCATGACTCAGCTCAGCAAACTGTACAATAAAAAAATGTGCAAGGTAAAGGAGAAGTTGTTCCATAACATGCGCGACTATGCTGATGCTTCGGGAAAGCTCCACCTGCTAGAGATTGGCGTGGGCACCGGCCCCAATTTTCAGTTTTATCCCCCCAACACTCGCGTGACCTGCTTGGACTACAACCCCAACTTTCAAAAATTCCTCCTGAACAGCATGGCTCAAAACACACACCTCCAGTTCGAGAATTTTGTGGTCGCCTCCGCTGAGAACATGACTTCATTTTCGGACAACTCTGTGGATGTGGTGGTTTGCACAACTGTGTTTTGCTCTGTGAAGAACACCCAGGCTGCATTGAAGGAGATCTTGCGAGTGCTCAGACCCGTAAGTCAAAGAGCAAAGAGAGAAAGTTAATTCTGGGGTGTCCAGACAAATGAATAATGGGCACTAGGTAGGTGCACATACACACTAGGCAAGTGTGCATGGGTTCAAGGGCTTTAGATTCCACAAAAACAACATCTCTCTGCTGCTCTTTATGCTGCTCATTTTCGGGCTTAACATAAACTGGATCCCTGGCCAAATTTTTTCACTTTTTAAAGCATTTTTTCCCTGCCAATTTGCCCAAACCGAGAGGGGGAAAATGCTTTAAAAAGGGTGGGGGAAAGCTTCCAAGGATCATTCAGCTCAGCTGGATGGCTTGAAATTTTGTTTAAAACTTTAATTAACGGACTTCCTGGGGGCGTGGCCTGTTGCCGAGGAGGGCTCCACCGAGCTCCTCAGAGATCTGGTCTGTATATCT